CTCGGCCTCCGCGGGGGCGGCGGGTGGGAGTCGCGGGCCGCGTCCGGGCTCCTCCGTGCGCCTTTGGGCCCCTGCCCCTGCGGGTCTTTCGTGGAGCGGTTCTCGAGGGCCCCCTTAAGGCGGAGACCCGGGGACAGGAGTGATTTGGGGGGTGAAAGAACCCCCCATCCAAGGCAGCCGCCCCGCGGGGGACTGGAGCGCAGAGCTTGGGGTAAAACACAGCTGACCAAGGCAAGGGTAGAGGAGACACCCCGGGCCGAGCCCTGGTCTGTTCTGGTTCAGTGCTGGACTGACTTCTTGACCTTGAGTTCACTTTCGTTTCTGAGTCTTAATTTCCTCATCTGTGAACTGGAGAGCTTGGACCCTTTTTCTTTCTTGGGTTTTCCCCCCCAACACTTAAGCGGTAGGCCGGTCCTCTTGTTGGGACTTTCCAGCTTAAGAAACTTATAAGGTGGCTTGTGAAAACGGAGACATCTCCAGCCCACCGACTCCTCTCTGCACACCAGGCTGCGAGGCCCACGGTTCCTAGGAAAACTAGGTCCTCTGTCTGCAGAAATGGAGACTTTTGCCTTCAGTTCTCAAAGACAACTTCCTCTGCAGGCCTGGCCACCCTGCTGAAAAAGAGGAATAACTGGAAGGCCGGCTTAAAGTGCAGAATCAGCAGAGGGAACCAGGGAAACTCAGAAGCTGGCCAGTGGATGACGGTGAGTTACTGGCGCCCGGGGGCTGTGCACACTCCCTGGCTCCGCCTCCACCCAGTGTCTAGCTCCTGCGGCCCGAGGACTGGGCGCTCTGATGGGATTGTGGGGCAGGGCTGATAGGTGGTGGGTCAGCTGTTAGGTTAGCCGCGGTGGATCTGGCTAACGGCTAACACTGCTCTGCCCTGTGCTGCCTCCAGCCTGCGGCAGGGCTGATAGGAGTGCAGAGGTGAGGCACTGGGTGCATCCTGGCTTCTGGCTGTAGCTTTGTCCCCCGTCAGTCACTTCCACTTTTGCCAAGCCAGGTGAAGCCTCCTTCCCCCCCCCCCCCCCCCCCCAGGATGCTCCTGAAGAGTCCTCCACCACCCCTAGGGATTGTTCTCTCCCTCTGACCCCCCTGTTCCATCAGTTTACCTTTTCCACCAGATGTGGACCCCCACCAGGAAGAACTGAATAGGACCTAAGATTTTATTTCTGGTTTTACAGTCAGGCAAGTACAGGGCTTGGCAGGTTTTCAGGGAATGCCTGTGGAGTAAAGATAATGACGGCCCTTTTCCTTCAGTGAGTCCTCTTTGCACAGCGCTGTCCTGGGTGACTTACATGGGTGAGCTCTTTACGCCTCATCCATACAGCGGTAACAATAAAGTTATCAGTGTTACACCATTTTCCTGTATAGAAACTGAGGCAGAGAACAGAAATTTGTTCCAGGTCACACTGGTGGGAAGTGGGTGACTGTGCAGTTTATTTATTATACTTACTACTATTAATTATTTTCTTACTACCATCCATTATATGCCCTTGATCCTTTCTCGCTCCTTTCTTTCTCTTTTTTTTTTTTAAAGATTTATTTATTTTTGTGCATACAGAACTGGGGTACAGGCCAGAGACTCAGGGGTGGCGAAAGACTTTGCCAGAGACAGAGCGGGATGCAGAACAGGCAGATCAACGAAGTACACTGCTGAGGGGAGCAGCGGGCGGGTCAGGAGAGGTCTGCCTCGCCATGTGGTCACCTCCGGGGCAGGCGGGAATCGAACTCATGCGGAAGTGGTCTCAGCTTCTTAGTGCAGTGCTTTAACCCGCTGCGCCACCAGGGAGGGCCAACTCCTTTCTTTCTCTTAACCCCAGAAACCTTACTTCTTTTATTAATGTCTGATAGTTTTTATAAGTATTTTACTTTGTGGAATCATCTGCTTTGCAAATGCCTAATATTTGTCTTTGTTGTTCTCACTTGCCTTACATTTAATGCAATCTTGAGCTCCCTCCATTTTGCTGTCAAGGGCAGCGTTTCTCTTTCTTGACGACTGAGTAGTATTCCACAGTGTGGCTGTGCCACACCTTCTCAACCCAATCTTCTGTAGATGGGCCAGTGCAGGTTGCCTTTAGCCATGACACTAAAGAGGCTTCTGGTGAATCCCCCAGATTGGGGGAGGCTAACTGAACCAGTTGGGATGAGGGACTTCTCGAGATAATGCCTTATTTTGGATCTTGCAATTAGGAACTTTCTGAGAAGTCTGGAGGACCTGGGCAGCTTGTGGGTCATTCTCCTGCTTGGAGCAGAGAGGGTGGGATCCCAGAGAGACTTTCTGACACTCCAGTTCAGCTTCTCTGGGCTGCCAGCTACCCTGCCTTGGGGTTCCTTGTGTGCAAAGTGGATCTAAGGTTTGCATTTGCCTTGTGGGCCTGGGACATGGTCAGGGCAGACTCCCTTAGGTTGTTGTTGCTTTCCTGCCTCGGGGCCACGAGGTAAGAGTAGTAAGGGAAAATATGGGCAATACATGGAGTGGGCCAGGCCTTGAGCTAGCGAGGATGGTCCCTGCCTTCCCAACGTGCCCAGTGGAATTTCTCACTTGGTCATACCTGGGAAATGTAGTGTCCCTCAATCCACTCCACTCATTTAAAAAGTAGTTTAGGAACCAGCTCACAAATCTGGGTCCCTAGGCTCCAGGGCATGAGAAATACCATCTGGGTGTCTAGTCTCAGAGGGCTTGGATTCACCTGCTTGCTGCACAGCTTCTAGCCTCCCATCTTAGCCAGGTCACTTCAAGGCTTTGGCACCGGGATTTTTTCCTGTGTAAAGGGACCAGCCTGTGAGGCCAGGGGCCGATATGTGAGCAGGGTATCGGGTGTCATGCTGTATTTCCTTCTGCACCCCCACAGCAGCTGTGCCAGGTGAGTCTCCCTCAACTCACTTTGTACATTTGGACAGTCAGGCCCACTTTGACAGCAAGTTAACCTTAACAGAGAGTGTCACAGTACATGTGAGTGACAGAGCAGTGGAGTCAAGCCCGGGTTCTTTGGCATAAAGTTCTTACTCGTCTCAATGCTTTGCTGCTTACTGGCCTTGGACCTGGTACAAGTCAAGTGTGTGATAATTGTTAGCAACATAGCTGCTTTTGTACATTCTTGGTTGGTGGTGGGGGAAGGGGGGCTCCAAAGTGGTCTGTGGGAGCTAAAGTTGGGAGCAAAGGGTGCACTTTGCTCAAGCACTCAGGGCCCCCCACTTAGGAAGGTCTGCTTGGGACTCTGCTGTCACCATCTAAAATACTTTGTTATGTTTAGGCAAGGAGCTCCAGTTTCACTGCACTGATCCCCCCCATATTATGTAACCAACTTTTCTTTTTAAGTGCTATTGGTTTATGGGTTTCATGTGTATAGTCTTTTAAATCAACATCTGTGTATAATGCATTAAATAGCGGTTTAACTCTATTTTTCACCATAAACATGATCCCTTTTATCTGATTCATCCATCCCCTCCACCTCCCTCTTCTCTTCTAAAAATTGCTATTTTATTGAGTCTAAGAGTTTGCTTTATTTAGTTCATTTCCTTTGTTTAGTTTTTTTTAAAAAAGATTTATTTATTTGTGCATACAGAACTGGGGTATAGGCCAGAGGCTCAGGGGCAGCGAGAGGCTTCACCAGAGACAGAGTGGGGAGCAGAACAGGCAGATCGACGAAGTACACTGCTGAGGGGAGCAACGGGCGGGTCAGGAGGGGTCTGCCATGCCATGTGGTCACCTCCGGGGCAGGCGGGAATCAAACTCATGTGGAAGTGGTTTTAGCTTCTTAGTGCTGTGCTTTAACCCGCTGCGCCACCAGGGAGGGCCCTTAGTAGTTTGTTTTTTTTTTTTTTAAGATTTATTTATTTATGCTTACAAATCTGGGGTACAGGCCATAGGTGCAGGCGCAGAGAGAGGCCTCACCAGAGACAGCGGGGAGCAGAACAGGCTGACGGACAAAGTACACTGCTGAGGGGAGCAGCGGGCGGGCCAGGAGAGGTCTGCCGCGCCATGTGGGTCACCTCCAGGGTGGGGATTGAACTCGTGCTGCAGTGGCTTTAGCTTCTTAGTGCTGTGCCACAGGGAGGGCCTGTTTGTTTATTTTATATGTATTTTATATGAGTGAAATAATATGGTGTTTGTCTTTCTCAGTCTGACTTATTTCACTAAGCTGAATACCCTCTATGTATATCACATTACAGATGGCAAAGAGTTTTATTTTTAATAGCTGAATAATATTCCATTGTGTGTACAAACCACATCTTCTTTATTCAGTCATTGCTGATGGACACGTAGGTTGTTTTCGATTCTTGGCTATTGTGAATAATGTCATGATGAACTTGGGGGTGCATATATCTCTTTAAATTAGTATTTTGCTTGCTGTGGATAAATACCCAGAGGTGTGATAGATGGATCATACAGATTTCTATGCTTAATTTTTTGAGAAATTTCCATCCTGTTTCAGTAATGGCTGTACCAATTTATATTCTCACAGGCAGTATATAAGAATTGCCTTTTCTCCACATCTTACCAGTTTTATGCCTTTTGATAATAGCCATTCTTACAGGTGCAAGGTGATATCCTTGATGTTTTAATTACATTCTCTAACAGAGATGATGATGAGCATCTCTCATGTGCCTATTGGCCAGCTTCTTTGAAGAAGTATCTAGTCAGAGCTTCTGACCATTTTTTATATTGAGTTCTTTGTTTTGTCATTGTTGAGTTTTATTTTTATCTATTTATTTTTAAAGATTTATTTTATTTATTTATGTTATTTACGCATACAAAAACTGGGCTGTAGGCCAGAGGTATAGTGGTGAGAGGATTCACCACAGAAAGTGGAGAACAGAACAGGCAGATCTACTGAAATACACCACTGAGGGGAGCAGTGGGCAAGACCGGAGAGATCTGCTGTGCCTTATGTGGGTCAGCTCCCTGGGGGCAAGGGAACAGGGAGATCAAACTCATTGTGCAGTGACTGCTGATCTTGTGATAGTGCTGAGACTTAACCCCTTGTGCTGCCAGGGGGACCCTGTTGTTGTTGAATGGTAATGTTAGGTATATACCTTAGACATTAACCTCTTGTTGGGATATATATTGCAAATACCTTCATACCTTCTTCCACTTAATAGACTGCCTTTTTTTTTTTCTCAGACAAGAATCTACAAGCAGTTTATTAAGGTTGTTATATATCTGGGTCAAAAATCAGCAGGGTTCTATTTTATTCTGTAACTTTATCATATTACAGATCTATAGAGAACAATCATAATGTTGGAATCAACTACAGCTATCTAAAACGGTTGACTCATTAATCCTCTATTTGACTGCTTTTCTTATTTTAATTTTTTAGACTACCTTTTGTTTTAATGGTGGTTTCTTTGATTTTGGGTAAATTTTTAGTTTTATGTAGTCCTATTTGTTTACTTTTGGCTTTGTTTCAGTTCATTTTTAAATTAATTTTTGTGTATTGTGTGAGATGGTGGTCTAGTTTCATTTTTTTTGCACATGGTTGCCCACTTTTTCCAACACCATTTATTGAAGAGACTTTCTTTGCTCTATTTTTTGCTTTCCTATCTCCTTAGTCATAAATTAGCTTTCTAGATAGATGGATGACAGACAGACAGATAGATCTAGTTCTCACTACTGTTCTACTGATCCCTGTGTCTGTTTTTATTTCAGTGTCTTGCTGATGTGATTACTTTAGCTTTGTAGTATAATTTGAAGTGAGGGAGCATGTACTTCTATTTTATTTTGCCACTTAGGATAGTTTTATGTATTTGGTGTTTTTTGTATTTTAAAATAAATTTTAATGACCTTTTTTGTTTTAGTTTTGTGAAGAATGTTTTTGAGATCTTGATAGCAATTGCATTGAAACTTAGGTAGCTCTTGGTAAAATGCTCATGTTAACATGTCCATTTTTCCAATCCACAAATATGGAATATCTTTGCTTTTTAAAAATTTCTTCAGTTTCTTTCAGTACTAGCTTACAATTTAAATTATGCAGATCTTTCACTTTCTTGGTTAAATTTATTCCTATTATTTTATTCTTTTTGGTGCACTTATAAATCTGTTGTTTTAACATCTCTTTCTGATGGGTCATTATTTAGTATAGGATTGCCCCCAATTTTTAAAAAAGATTTATTTATTTATGCATACAGAACTGCATACAGGCCAGAGGTGCAAGGGCAGTGAGAAGATTCACCAGAGACAGAGTGGGGAGCAGAACAGATGGATTGACAAAGACAACTGCTGACTGCTGAGGAGAGCAGTGGGTTAAACAGGAGAGGTCTGCGGCACCATGTGGGTCATGCTGGGGCCGAGGATCAAACTCTCAGTGGAGCTGCTGCAGCTACCTTGCAGTACTGGACTTTAACCCATTTGCGCCACCTGGGTGGGCCTGCTACCAACTTTTGAATATTGATTTTGTAGCCTACAACTTTACTGTATTCATTTTTTTTAAACGGAGTCTTGCAGTTTTGGCATCAAGGAGACACTTAGGAAGAATGTTTCTGCTTTTGTTGATGAAGGTGTATGAGAATTGTGCCTTCTATGCTGTCAACTAATCTGACTCTGGAGGCTTGGGAAGCATTTCTGGGATCTCTTAGAGCTAAGTGCCAGGAAGATATTTTGTTTCCCTTGTTCTTTTTCCTTTTCTCCTTATAGATGACAGGAACTATTTAACTGACAGTATTTCCATTTTAGTTTTGGTCACCTGAAAACTCAAAAACAAATTCTTGGCTCAGGCACAGCAACTGTGTTCAACCTTAAAACAATCATAACGAGAACCTGTATTATGTGGATGTAGCCTTGGTTGCAGATGCTGTTACCTGTCCTTTATGTGTATTATTCTACCAACTCTTTTCAACCCTCTTCCCTATGGGATTATTTGAAGGTGGAGAATCACTTATTTTTATTTACATAACTAGTAGGCCATAGAATTGATCTTTAAGCCTATTAGTCTGACCCTGGAGTCCATGTTCTTGAACACAATCCCTCCCCACCTTGGCTCGGACCCTGACTGCCTGCATATCTGGGAATTTGGGTTCTATATGGTTGTCACTGTTTTGTTTTTTTTTTCCCCTTAGCATTTATATTTTCCATCATCTTGATTTCTGTCATTTGTATTTTGCAACGTCTTCTGGAAAGCTATTTGGGGTTGAATAAGTAAGGCTTCTCAAATTGAACCCACCTATTTGGTGCCTGCTCACCTGTATACCTCACTGAAGGAGTGGAAATCCCAAGTGCCCGGGAGAGGGGTCTTTGCAGCTCCAGAGTTCTCCCTGCGGGTGTCTGGATGTTCTGAGGTGTAGAAGAACGAAGACCTGAGTCAAGGCCTTGGCAGTCCCCTTCCTCACCCTTTCTGGGAATGTTCCTTGACCTGATCAGAAAGAACCCAAAGGCAGCAGCAGGACTCCTGGCTCCCGCTGACCTTGTGATGATACTTTGGCCTTTGAAAGGTCCAGGAACCCAGCCTGGGTCTAAAGTTCTTTCTTGTGCTGTTTCCTAAAGGGAAGTGAAGACAAGCTGGCTGCTCCAGAATGAAGTGCAGCTCCGAGAAGGGGAAGTAGGAACCCAGCTGACTCTTGGCTATGGCTTGTGAACCCCAGATGAGCCCCAGTGTGACAGCCAGTGCACTGTCCACCTCCTCCCCTGGCTGGAGTGCTCTGCCAGGGGGCAGTCCCAGCTGGGGACAAGGTAAGCACATGACCCTTGACCCCACCTTCCTTTCAACCCTTTCTAGGATGCTGATCTGAACTAATAGCATGACTGATGGGAGGTGAGTGGAGGGGCCCAGAAGTGCCTTTAGATAAGGGTGGGCATTTTTCCAGCTATGCTTCCAGGTAAATTTCTGTCGCCTCTAGCCATTCTCTGTGTTACCAACTTAGAGTAAGCCACTGTCACCCTCTTCTGGGATCCCTGCTCTTGCCTCCTAGCTCATTTCTTTTCCTCCTTCCTTTTTCATCCTTTCTCTAACAGGTTTCCAGAAATATCTTTTGAAATGCACATCTGTCATGTCCCTTTCTGCTTCAGTGGCTCCCATGGGTGTAGCATAAAGAGCTCTCATTCATCAGCTTGTGAGGCTTCCCTAGTGCCTCCTACAGTCCCCTGCACGTTGTCCTGCCCCAGGGCCTTTGCATCTGCTGTTTATGCTGCTTGTCAGGCCCTTTCCTGCCTCCTTTTCTGTGATCAATGTCCCTGCCTGTTTCAGCGCAGTTCAAATAAGGGCTATTTTTTCTGATGCCTCCTTAATTCAGGGTGCTCTGATCCCTTCCTGCTTCTCCCAAAGCACTTATCACATTCTCTATTAAATATCACCTGTGTGATTAAGTCTTGAATGTTCAGCTTCCAGACTAGAATGTTATCTTCTTGTTATCTTGTTCATACCGTTATCTCTAGTATCCAGCAGAGGGCTTGGCCCATAGTAGATACTCAGTAAACACTGAGTGAACCTCTGAGCCACTGGACATGGGCCAGTGAAGACCTCATTGGGAACTAGGGGACCCATGAAATGTGGCTAATGATGATTTGAAGACAAGGGTTTCTTTATTACTACTGTTACTAGGGAAGCAATGTATATGCATGTATCCCAGTAGAATGAAAGTAAGGGAAATAATTTTCCTTCAGAGCTTTAACGGCTTTGTGTCATGGGTTATTGGCAAGTCAGTTCTTGCTTCTTAGTAAGTAATTGCTCCCATTCACTCCCCACTGCCATCCCCCGGCCCCCACCCAACACATACACAATGGCTTGGCATCAGGTCATTTCTGTTCTTTTTTAATATTTTTATTTTCTTGTATTTATTTATGCACATAAGGATTGGGGGTAGGCCAGAGCAGCCGGGGGTAAGAGGATTCACCAGAGACAGAGTGGGGAAGAGAACAGAGAGATAGACTAAATACATTGCTGAGGGGAGCAGCGGGGAGACACTAGAGGTCTGCTGCACCATGTGGGGCACCTCCCCAGCCAGGGATCAAACTCTTATCACAGTGGCTGGGGATAACTTCATAGTGCTATGGGGATAGCTTTAACCCTGCCCACCAGGGAGGCCTCATTTTTCTTAGTCTAGGTATAAAAACAAGTATCTCTAAATGGAGAACCTGCTGTTCTCACTTGAAGGAGAGATTACTGCCAAGCATCTGGCAACTCTTGGTTTGAAAGGCAAGCATAGGCACTGTGAGAAATCTTTACATTGCTCAAACCAGCACCTTCCTCAGCATGCAAAGGGCCGGCTGGGTGCATGGTTCTGGTTCTGGTTCCAGTTCTGGTTACCCAGGCCTGGAGTGCACTTCAATGTGGGCTTTCTACTGACAGTAAGTCAGAGGCCCTGTGGACCTTCCTGTCTTATCTTGTGCTGTTTTTCTCCTGCTTCTCCATCTTCTTTTGTTTCCCCTGGCAGTTGGGTGAGCAGTTAGCCTGGCAGAGCCTCTGTCTACTTTCCCATACTAATGGCATCCACCTTTTAGGGCCCTTGGGGGCATAAATGAAGTCATCTGCTTGAAGCCGAAGCCTTGTGCCAGGAACTTTAAGAAGATGTTTCTTATTTTATTGTTCTATTTTATTTCTGCCTTTATTTCCTTTTTGGTGAGTTTTCCTCATTTGCTTACTATTTATATATTTGCTTATATATTATGTATATAATATGTAATATGTAATATAATTATATAAGCAAATATAATATAATAACATCATATAAAATATAGCATAATGATGTTAGATAACATATAATAGCCTATATGTTATATGTATATGCAAATATTTATAATTTCATCTTTCAGCATTTTGTTCTTTTTTTTTTAAAGATTCATTTATTTATGCATGCAGAGCTGGGGTACAAGCCAGAAGTGCAGGGGCATGAGAGGATTCACCAGAGACAGAGTGGGGAGCAGAACAGACTGATTGAGAAAGTGCACTGCTGAGGGGAGCAGTGGGCGGGTCAGGAGAGGTCTGTCGCACCATGTGGGTCTCCACTGGGAATGGGATTGAACTCACCCTGAAGCAGCTGTGGCCAGCTTGCAGTGCTGTGTCCTTATCTGTTGCACCACCAGGGAGGGCCAGCATTTTGTTCTTATGAAGTCACTCTCAAGTCTTTTCTGAAACCAGTTGTGGGAGGGTAAAAACAAATACAAGTTAAGCAACGTTCTTCAGTGTCACTTGTGAGCTCCAATCAGCTTGCTTTTGAAGTATGGTGACAAGAGCGGTCAGTTGTGCAGGGCCTGTTTTGGGCCAAGAGTTTGTTTTCATCATCTTAAAGCCCTCTGCAGTGGATATGATCACAAGCCAGCTAGTAGGGATTTAAATGACCTCTTCAAGGTCATCCTCTTAGTGAGGGGTCTGCCTAACTCGGCTTATCTTACCTCCCTCCACTTGCCTCCATACAAAAAAACGGGGAAGTGGAGGAGGCAAAAATAAAGTACTTTTTGACAGGGGATAGAATTCTGTGTTACCCTTTGTGTTATAGGCAATAACCCAGTATTAAAAGGCCTTATCAGGTCAGAGACCTGAGTTTTATTGTATTAATTCACTTATCCATTGAACGTGCATCTAGTGCCTACTGTATTGCAGGCACTGAACTAAGAACAGAGAATTGAGTAATGTGCAAAGCCAATGGGAAGTATATAATCTGATGAGGAGGATGGATTTTAATCAAGTAATTGCCTACATGTGTAACCAGGTAATTGTATACATTTGTACTTCATGTGTATAAAGGAGAAGAACAGGCAGTTATGAGCAGGTTTAGCAGGAGCTGTTAGGGGTTCAGAGTGTCAGGGAAGACTCTGTGGGGAAGTGATTCTTGGAGTAGTATACAAATGCTGAGTAGCATTAACAAGGTAAAGTGAAGTGGCCATGCAAAGGTCCTGGGGTAGGAGAGATCACTGCATGTCCAAGGAACAAAGGAGCTCACAGGGGAAGACACAGAAGGAGACCAAAAGAAGGGTAGGTTTGGCGACGCTAAGGAGGCTATTTCAGGAGTACAAGCCTGGCTTCTCTGGCTTCAGTAGCACTGTGTGCAGATGCCAGGAGGCACATGGAATCAACAAAGATGTTGTCTACCCAACTGGTGGGGCCCCATGATGGGGGTGGAGATGATGGTGGGCCAGGAACTCCCAGGAAGGTCTTGCTGGTTATTTTGCTCTGAAGACTCAGGTGTTGCCTCGTAAGGTTCTGAGCGGAGAAGAGCTTTGGGGCAGCAGGTGATGTATTTATAGTAAGCCCTTCGGTTTTGCTTCATTTTCTAAATTACAGCCACAGAGAATGTGCCAAAATATTCAGTCTCCAGCCTTGCATAGCTGAACCTTGGGATTCCAGAATCTTAGGGTCCCCTCACTGGCTGATCATGGTGGAAGCAAATTGCAATGCTTAGGTGTAGAGGATCTCTATGCAGAAGTGAAGGTGAATTTGGTGCCATTCTGCTGCCATTCCTCCCGGACCCGAGGGCTTTCCACCCTGACTTCCACTGCACTGGCCTCTGCAGACTGTGGTGCAGCCTCACCCCGGTTGGCTGGGCTAAGATATTTGGGCTACAATGACCAGCCTGGTGTTTTTTTGGGTTCCTCTGAACTCGATTTTAAAAAGTTGAATGAGTCACAGCTATAGCATTAAGTCCAGGTGTTTGTTTTCTGTCTCTGTAAATCGTACCTCGAACACAGTCGCTTATAAAACACACA